AGGAGGGGGAGAGGGGCAAAAAAAAAAGGGTAAAAAAGGGCAGAAAGGGTTTTTTAAGAAAAAAAAAAAGGAAAAGAAGGTTAAAAAAAGAGCGCAAGAGGCAAAAAGGGGGAAGAAAAGGTAAAAAGGGGAAAGCAAAGGCAAAAAAAGGGGAAAGCAAAGGCAAAGGAGGGGGGGAAGAAGGGAAAAAAGGGGAAAGCAAAGGCAAAGAAGGGGGGGAAGAAGGAAAAAAGGGAAAAGCAAAGGCAAAGAAGGGGGGAAGAACGGAAAAAAGGGGAAAGCAAAGGCAAAAGGGGGAAAAGAAGGGAAAAGGGGAAAAGAAAAGGCAGAAGGGGAAAAAGAAGGGAAAAGGGAGGAAAAGGGAAAAGGGAAGAAAGGGAAAAGCAAAGGCAAAAGGGGAAAGAGAAGGGAAAAAAGGGGGAAAAGAGAAGGCAAAAGGGAGAAAAGGGGAAAAGGAAAGGCCAAAAAAATGTGAAAGAGAAGGGAAAGGACGAAAAAGCAAAAGCAAAAGTGGAAAGAGAAAGGGAAAGGGGGGAAAGGAAAAGGCCAAAGGGGGGAAAGAAGACAAAAGGGGGAAAAGAAAAGGGAGAAGGGAAAAAAGGGAAAAGAAAGGCAAAAAAAAAAGGGGAGGGGGAGGGGGAAAAGAAAAGGTAAAAAAGGGGAAAAAAGAAGGTAAAAAGGGGAAAAGGCACCCCTGGGGGGGGCAGGGGCTGGGAGGCGAGATGTGCGGAGTGTCTGGGCGGCCGGGTGAGCTCCGCTCCGCTCCCCCCTCACCCCCTCTCCCCCTTCACCCCCAGACCTGGTGGACGTCACCTCGGTGAACCCCGACTGCCCGGTGTCGGACCCCACCGTCTTCCAGAAGCGTTACCTGAAAAAGATCCGGGAGCTGGGGGAGGTACGTGGCATTGCGAGACCCCCCTGGAATTCTCTGCCCGAACCCCTTCCCCTGCCTCGGGGTGAAAAAGTTGGGGGGCCAGCACAGTTCTCACCCGAGTGAGTCGAAATCCCCAAAGACGTTCCAATTCCCCAAAGATGTGCGAATTCCCCGCCGGACCCCGGAGCTGATAACGCTACGGAGGGCGGTTTTACGCCGTCGGGTGCGCCGGAGGGGCTCAGCACTGATCGGTTGGGAGGACGTTCCCCGGTAGCGGCTTATCGCCGTGCCCGATTCATACGTTCCAGTGGCACCGGCCTCTTTCCAGCCTGATTTCCAAAGAAGTTTGGACCGGGGTCCAAAAAAAATCGTTATCTTCCATCTTGTTTTCACTGAGGACTTCCCCTCTACCCGAGAAATTTGAAGGGAAAGTTTCCAGAAAGGCTGAGTTGTTTGTTTTTTGTTTGGAGGGGGTGGGAGGGGAGCGGAAACCGGGGAAGCTTTCTGCTGTGGCGAGATCTCAAATTTGCTTTGTTTTACCCCAGGGTCACTTCGGGAAGGTGAGCCTGTACTGCTACGACCCCACCAACGACGGGACGGGGGAAATGGTGGCCGTCAAATCCCTCAAATCCGGCTGCAGCCAGCAGCTGCTGACCAGCTGGAAGAGGGAGATCGAGATCCTCAAGACGCTTTATCACGAAAACATCGTCAAGTACAAAGGTTGCTGCAGCGAGCAAGGTAGGGGGGGGACGCGTGGTGGCTTCGGTGACGGTCGTTGTCACTCCCCGTGCGGGTTTTTGCTCCTCGCCGGGGGAGCTGAACACCGGTTTGCGGCGTGTGACCTCCGACGCTGCCACAGAGATGCTAAAAACCCGATTCCCCGTGGTTTTTTGGCAGCTGGTAGCTGGGGGGGATCCTTTTTCTGGGGGTTGGGGTGTCTCTGGGTTGCGTCAGTCTCCTCATGAAGGTCATGTGCTGCCCTCCCTCCTTGTCCTCCTTGTCCTCCTTGTCCTCCCTTCTCTGTCCTTCTCCTTCTCCTTCCTTCTCGTCCTTCTCCTTCCTTCTCGTCCTTCTCCTTCCTTCTCGTCCTTCTCCGTCCTTCTCGTCCTTCCCCGTCCTTCTCCTTCCTTCTCCCTTCTTCTCCCTTCTCCTCCTTCTCTGTCCTTCTCCCTTCTTCTCCCTTCTTCTCCCTTCTTCTCCCTTCTTCTCCCTTCTTCTCCCTTCTTCTCCCTTCTTCTCCCTTCTTCTCCCTTCTTCTCCCTTCTTCTCCCTTCTTCTCCCTTCTTCTCCCTTCTTCTCCCTTCTTCTCCCTTCTTCTCCCTTCTTCTCCCTTCTTCTCCCTTCTTCTCCCTTCTTCTCCCTTCTTCTCCCTTCTTCTCCCTTCTTCTCCCTTCTTCTCCCTTCTTCTCCCTTCTTCTCCCTTCTTCTCCCTTCTTCTCCCTTCTTCTCCCTTCTTCTCCCTTCTTCTCCCTTCTTCTCCCTTCTTCTCCCTTCTTCTCCCTTCTTCTCCCTTCTTCTCCCTTCTTCTCCCTTCTTCTCCCTTCTTCTCCCTTCTTCTCCCTTCTTCTCCCTTCTTCTCCCTTCTTCTCCCTTCTTCTCCCTTCTTCTCCCTTCTTCTCCCTTCTTCTCCCTTCTTCTCCCTTCTTCTCCCTTCTTCTCCCTTCTTCTCCCTTCTTCTCCCTTCTTCTCCCTTCTTCTCCCTTCTTCTCCCTTCTTCTCCCTTCTTCTCCCTTCTTCTCCCTTCTTCTCCCTTCTTCTCCCTTCTTCTCCCTTCTTCTCCCTTCTTCTCCCTTCTTCTCCCTTCTTCTCCCTTCTTCTCCCTTCTTCTCCCTTCTTCTCCCTTCTTCTCCCTTCTTCTCCCTTCTTCTCCCTTCTTCTCCCTTCTTCTCCCTTCTTCTCCCTTCTTCTCCCTTCTTCTCCCTTCTTCTCCCTTCTTCTCCCTTCTTCTCCCTTCTTCTCCCTTCTTCTCCCTTCTTCTCCCTTCTTCTCCCTTCTTCTCCCTTCTTCTCCCTTCTTCTCCCTTCTTCTCCCTTCTTCTCCCTTCTTCTCCCTTCTTCTCCCTTCTTCTCCCTTCTTCTCCCTTCTTCTCCCTTCTTCTCCCTTCTTCTCCCTTCTTCTCCCTTCTTCTCCCTTCTTCTCCCTTCTTCTCCCTTCTTCTCCCTTCTTCTCCCTTCTTCTCCCTTCTTCTCCCTTCTTCTCCCTTCTTCTCCCTTCTTCTCCCTTCTTCTCCCTTCTTCTCCCTTCTTCTCCCTTCTTCTCCCTTCTTCTCCCTTCTTCTCCCTTCTTCTCCCTTCTTCTCCCTTCTTCTCCCTTCTTCTCCCTTCTTCTCCCTTCTTCTCCCTTCTTCTCCCTTCTTCTCCCTTCTTCTCCCTTCTTCTCCCTTCTTCTCCCTTCTTCTCCCTTCTTCTCCCTTCTTCTCCCTTCTTCTCCCTTCTTCTCCCTTCTTCTCCCTTCTTCTCCCTTCTTCTCCCTTCTTCTCCCTTCTTCTCCCTTCTTCTCCCTTCTTCTCCCTTCTTCTCCCTTCTTCTCCCTTCTTCTCCCTTCTTCTCCCTTCTTCTCCCTTCTTCTCCCTTCTTCTCCCTTCTTCTCCCTTCTTCTCCCTTCTTCTCCCTTCTTCTCCCTTCTTCTCCCTTCTTCTCCCTTCTTCTCCCTTCTTCTCCCTTCTTCTCCCTTCTTCTCCCTTCTTCTCCCTTCTTCTCCCTTCTTCTCCCTTCTTCTCCCTTCTTCTCCCTTCTTCTCCCTTCTTTCCTCCCTTCTCCTCCCTTCTCCTCCCTTCTCCTCCCTTCTCCTCCCTTCTCCTCCCTTCTCCTCCCTTCTCCTCCCTTCTCCTCCCTTCTCCTCCCTTCTCCTCCCTTCTCCTCCCTTCTCTGTCCTCCCCCCTTCTCCCCTCTCCCCCCTTCCCTTCTCCCCCCTTCCCTTCTCCCCCCTTCTCCCTCTTCTCCAGGAGAGAAGATCGTGCAGCTGATCATGGAGTACGTGCCCCTGGGCAGCCTGCGAGACTACTTGCCCAAACACAACGTCAGCCTGGCCCACATCCTCCTCTTCGCCCAGCAGATCTGCGAGGTGACGCCCCAACCTTCCTCCCTGCTCCTGGGGGCTCTCCCCCCACCCAAAAAGAGCTCTCAGCCCCCCTAAAATGGCTCTGAGTCCACCCAAAATGGCTCTGACCTCTCTGAAATGGCTCTGACTCCCTCCAAAATGGATCTGATCTCCCTGAAGTGGCTCTGACACCCCATAAAATGGCTCTGACCTCTCCGAAATGGCTCTGATCCCCCCCCAATGGCTCTGAGCCCCCATAAAATGGCTCTGAGCACCTTTAAAGTGGC